CAACAACTGCTACTTTAATTCCTCTGTGTCTTGTAACATAGCTTGTTCACAGAGTCCAGGGATTAGGACATTGGGGGAAAGTCATATTCTGCTACCGTACCCTGGGAACCAGATAAGATATTACATGTCAGCTATGTTGCCAGGCAACCTACTTACAGTAAAAATGGGTCCTGGTTGGTAAATAACACTCAGCCCTGGAGCAGCTGGAAATGAACCTCAAACACTAGATATAGATATCACTTTGACTTTTTTGTCCTGTGTTTGTTTGGCATCTGTATGAGACTAGCTATTATTGGCTCAGGAGATGCCACAATGTAAATTGAATGACTGGAACCTAAGCTATAAAATATATCAAAGTTCCCTGTCATAGCATTTAATTTGGACAGTGACTGGAGTAGCTGAGAAACCATGCTCCTATGAGGACATCTGGGGACAGTGTATCCACTCAGATCCAGGTTGCCTGGGTGAGGTGACACCTATTTACCTGTAGTTTCCTTTAGGGGTGACAATATTCAGCTGAGTCTCATGATGACTGAGAAAGAGTAACATTGGTCATATGACACTAACATACCCTTTTAGATGTCCTTGAGAACAAATAAAGCTATGCTCCACGGAGTGGAGAGGGACTCAAAATCTCCCACTCCTAGCTGAGGAGTTTCTGGCCTCTGGGAGAGGGAGAGTCAGTTTTCTTTAAGGGTGTGGTCCCTGGTAGATACGCCGGGTTCCAGTGGGTTGTCCCCCGGGAGTATATGGGCAACACAAACCGGACTTGGTGGGCCATTGAAAAAGAGAGATGAAGTGGGGCTGGAGTGGGTGTTGGGAGGTGGATCTGAAAGAAATTAGGGGGAGGAGTGGAGGTGAATAGCATCAAAATACATTGTATAAATGTATGAAATAAAAAAGTTAGCATTTTAAAAGCAATGTAGAAATTAAACAACTATGGTAAAAGTTAAGCAATTGTTAAAGTTAGTTGACGATACAAGGTTGTTTGGTCTCCAGTTCTTTCTACTTTGCTACATTTGAAACACAAAAAAAAGAATCTCTAGGTGTGGAAAACTTCTCACCCAATCTCTCTCTCTCTCTCTCTCTCTCTCTCTCTCTCTCTCTCTCTCTCTCTCTCTCTCTCTCTCTCTCTCTCTCTCTCTCTCATTGAGACAAGGTATTACTAAGCAGCCCAGCTAGCCTCAAACTCAGCATCCTCCTGCCCCCAGCCTCCCCAACTGCTGAGATGACAAGTGTGTGCCCCCACATTGGGCAGCTGGCAACCCTGCCTTTTCCTTCTGCGGTAGTTATAATTTTGGATGCATTCACAGCTCCCTTCCTTTTCAATCCTGTATCACAGATAGTGTGGCATCCCTTGTTGGCCACTGTAAGGTATTTACTCAATGTGTGACATCCTTGTGACACTCGAATCCAACTTATCCACGAGCTGTATTGGAAGAAGCTTGAGTGCAGACCCTCCTCTACTTGGGACGGGTTGTGTCCTAGCTGTGGCTAAGAGGCTGTGCACTCAATATCCATCCTCGGACATTGTTCAGCAGCACGGCACAAGACATCATTGCCTGTGACCCTTGGTCCTGTGTGACTGTACTCACTGCTGCTGCCCATGCTGGGGTGTTTTTTTTTCAGCACTGGGGATCTTACCCAGAGTCTTGAACATGCCAGACAAGGACTCTTCCTCTGAGCTACACCTCCAGCCCATGTTCATGTCTTATTGCTTATCACTGACTGGATAAAAGGTTCCAATTCAAAAGTTGTTTGTATGAGTGTGGACCATGGGAATCCAAGGCTCAATATGTGATGTCTCTGAATGTAGGGAAAACCTCCATCCCACTTTTGTCCACAAGGACTGCTTGTGGCTGGTCTGCAACAGAATCTTATGGGGAAGGTGGCATCTTCCTTATGTCGCTGCTTGCAGCCCCTTCCCCTAGAATCCAACAGGAGTCTGTGTCTGTGCAATAGACACCATACAGTCCCAGAAGCAGTAACGGCTGATCACTCAGGGCTCCGCATGTTAGATTTCCCCCATATAAAAGAGTCCCTGCCCCAGTCACAAGCCTTGTTTGTTCTCCATAATATAACCCTAACTCTGGGCACTTCCGAATCAGTGTTTCCATGTCTCAGTACACTGGCCTCTATTGAAATGCCACACCGGCTCATGAAGGGCAATGCTACAATGACAAAGAGACTCTGGCCTGGCGTTGGTGGCACATGCCTTTAATCCCAGCACTTGGAGGCAGAGGCAGGCAGATCTCTGTGAGTTCAAAGCCAGCCTGGTCTACCAATCGAGTTCCAGGACAGAGTCCAAAACAATACAGAGGAACCCTGTCTCCAAAAAGAGAGAGAGAGAGAGAGAGAGAGAGAGAGAGAGAGAGAGAGAGAGAGAGAGAGAGAGAGAGAGAGAGAGAGAGATTTTGAGGATGGGACTTGAAGCAGATGGGAGCGTCTTCTCTGACAAGTTGACCCCTCGGTGAGGAGCCAGGCTGACAGAAAGGTCAATGGTCTGCAAAGCCTCTCCTTCCTTCCTTCCTTCCTTCCTTCCTTTCTTCTTTCCTTCCTTCCTTTCTTCCTGTCTTTCCCATCATTTTCCTGGGTCTGTGGTTCTCCAACTGTCAGCACCATCACCTGGAAAGATTATTTTTAAGTGAGGAAAGATATGTTTTGGTTTACAGTTTCAGAGCTTTCAGCACAGTGGTCAGGAATGCATGGCAAAACAGCTCTCTTCATGGCTGTAAGAGAGCATGGCAGAAACTGTGCACATCATAGACCATAATGCTGAACATCTGCTTTTCTACCATACCTCAAGGGATGCTGATATTGCTGGACCAGGGACTGACTGCTATGCATTTGTTCTACCTTGGCACTAGGGACACAGGAAACAGTAAAATGGGTCCTTGGGCTGGAGAGATGGCTCAGCAGTTAAGCACACTACATGCTTATCCAAAGGACCTGGCTTCAATTCCTAGCACTCACATATCATCTCACAGTCATCTGGAATTCCAGTTTCAGGTAGATTCGATGTCCTCTTCTGGTCTGCATGGGCACCAAGCACACGAGCGGCACACAGACATACATGTGGGCAAATCATCTCTATACTTAATAAAAATAAATGAATCAGAGTCTTTGACTTTAGTGGTTCATGTGTACTGATAGTCAAGTGGTAAATATTCAGTGATCTCATGATGTAGCTATAACATCTTTTAGAAATCAACCCCCCCACACACACACAGAGTATAGGGATATTACTTTTGAAAACATTGTAGCAAAATACAATGCCATTAAAAAGCAACTTTCTCCAACACAGCCAGAGACCAAAGGAGGCCAAATCCCTTCACTCTCAAATACTTGTCACAATTGAAGAAATGGTGATGAGGGGCTGGAGGGATGGCTCAGCAGTTAAGAGGCTTAAGAGCACTCACTGCCTTTGCAGAGGACCTGAGTTTGGTTCCCAGCACCTACAGAGCAGCTCACAGCCATCTGTAACTCCAGTTACAGGGGACCCCACACCCACTTCTGGCCTTCTCCAGGTCCTGCACACACAAAGTACACAGAACTCATGCAGGCGTATACATATACATATAAAATGATGCGAATATTTAAAAAGAAATGGTAAGACACAAGGACAGGGTCCTAAAGCCTCGCCAGGACCTGAGCACACCAGTGGGGTGATGTGGGAAACACTTTCCAAGTGTTGGCTGGAAGATGAAGAGCAGATGCCAAGTGAATGAGGAACGGTTAGTCTAGACTTTTTCTCTGAGGTGTTGTCTCTCAAAAAGTGAGCAGAATTCATCAAAATAGCTGGAAAGGTGCCCAAAAAGCCAACGGTACTGTGATAGTGATGTCCCCAAGGACCATGTCACTTTGCAGCTCTCTCAGTGTCTTCTGGGAAGAGCCTTCACCTCAGGCTCACTTAACAGCCATCTCTGTACCAAACTGTCACAGTGTCACAGTCTATGTTCAAGAAAAAGCTAACCTTCTTCATTGGTATGCATGCATAGGCACACCCTTAGCAGGGTTAGGTTCCAGTGTGGTCTATGATTTTGGGTATCCACTGTGTGAATATGCACCCACACCTTTTCCCATTTTCCCCCTTGGTCTTTTCTTTTTGTTTGTTTTCACACAAAGTGCCCATCTATTTCTCTACCATCTATCTCTCAAGATGGCCTGTTGCATGTAATCCCTGTTTCAGCCTCTCAAGTACTGAGATAACAGGCAGGCATGACTAGCTCACTTTTTTTTTTTTTTTTACGAGACAGGGTTTCTCTGTATTGTTTTGGAGGCTGTCGGTCCAGCCCGGCCTCGAATTCACAGAGATCCGCCTGCCTCTGCCTCCCCAGTGCTGGGATTAAAGGCGCGTTCCACCACCCACCCGGCTACTCACTTTTTTTGAATGTATTTATTTTTATTCCATGTGTATGAGGTTTGTCTGCACTTATTTATGTGCACCATTTGCATGCTTGGTGCCTGCAGAGGCCAGAGGAGGATATCGGATCCCATAGAACTGAACTTTCAGACTGTTGTAAGCAGCAATGTGGGTGCTTGGAACTAAACTCAAGTCCTCTGCAGCAGCAGCCAGTGTTCTTTACCTCTGATCCTCACATATATTTTATGGTAAGAAAAAACATGTGATGTATGAAGATACCACAGCAAAACCTATTCATCTCTACAACTGATAGCTGTCCGTCACTATAATTAAAAAGAAGAAAACTCCTGCAAACTCTTTCTTCTTGGGATGATAGATTGGCAAGACGAAAGGGCAGGACGGCTGGGCACACTGGTTGTGCCCAAAGTGGTGTTGTCTGGCAAGGCTCAGGGTGGTGGCCTTGCCTTGAGTTGTGTCCCAGATGTTCCATGTCATCTTCATCCTTTAGCTCACTGTCATTCCCCAAGGCTGGTATGAGAGTCCCTGGGCTAACAGACAAAGCCACTGAGCTTGGCCAGGACAACTGAGGGAGCCTATGAAGACCCTGGGGGCAACATACATCTGTTTGTGTTTTCAGGAGAACCCTGAATCGACCTGTCTTCCAACAGCTAACTGCTACTGCCACCAGTATCCCCTGCCTAGACCTGTCCCTGGACCACCTCTCAGCAGGTAAGAATGGTCTCTACAGAGCAGAAAGGTGAGAGTCAGGAAGCAGAGTCCCCATGGTGACAGAAGTTCCTCATACCATCCCTGTCAGTCCTAGACTTCCTCTCCCCGAGGGACACTATTCACCAAGGCAGACGAAGGTGTGACGATTCTCACCATTCTGGAAACCCTTTCCCTGTCCTGGGTCAGGTCATATCAACAGCCCTGGGATGAAACCGCCTCATCCCAGCTCCCATCCTAAGTTGGCACTTGCTGACAACAGTGCTGGGTACCACTGATGGAGCCTGCCAGTGGTCACTACATGATGTGTCAGTATAAATATGCCTATGTGTCCAAGGAAACTGACCTTGAGGTCCCAGGGTGGCCCTGAACAATTGGCTTAGTTTTCCTTTTGCCTCACCTTCCTGGAGGCCAGGCACCCAGTCAGTGTCCCCTGGTGGCAACGTGAAAGTCTAGCTTTGTCACCACCCCTCTCAGCAAGTTTGCCATTACCTTCTTCATCAGGGCAGCTGTGACTACTCACAAGGCTGTAATGCCCTCATAGGAGGAGGGGAAGCTGTCATCAGGCTGCACCTGAGCCACTCCCCCAAGGCTGAGTGTAATTCTGCCCCAGCTGTCTGTGGTCTCTGAAGAGCTAGGGAAGGTAGATGGGTGGTAGGTTAACTGAAAAGGAACTCCGTCTGCATCCATGTTGGGATGGGACTGTTCAGTGATACAGCTGTTTGGAGGTCACCAGCAGTCTAGTAAGCAACCCCTCAGTTGCTCGGTAAGCAAGCCCAGTAAACTAACTGGTTCACCGTGCTGGACTGTAGTGGGATTCTTACTTTGTCCGGTGTTGGGGAAAACACTGTCTCTCCAGGAAAAGCCCATGTCCCACCCCACCTCCCTTTGTCTCTAGTCCATTTCTTCTTACTCGTTTGGGTCTTGGAGAAGCAGCTAGTGGACTCCGAAAAGTGTCAATCAAGAGGAGCCTAAAAGACCTCTGGGTGAGTTGGTGACGAGGACAACTCCAAAGCCTCCCTCTTGGTCCCCCTTTCAATGTTCTTCTGTCTCTAGCTCCAGTTAGCGAAAGCTGTTTCCTTCCACATTTCCAGCCATCTCAAGTGGCTTGCCCACCACTGCCTCAGTCCTTCCCTGCCCTCTCTCCAAGGCCAGGCAAGGGATCCCCTGCCCAAGGGGTGCATTGGTCCTGGAGAGCAGGACAGACCAAGGCTGGGGCTGGCTAGGAGGTCTCTGGAATTCAAATTCCCAGTTACTTGTGGCTCTCCCCCTTTCTGGAAGGTTTCCAATCAAGAGATGAAACCACACCTGCTGAACTCTGCTTTGAGCAGATGACCTAGCTAATACCAAAAAACCTTGTCTTTTTTAAAATTTTTTTTATTTTTAAATTTAAATTAGAAACAAGGTTGCTTCCCATGTCAATCCCAGGTCCCTCTCCTTTTCCCTCCCCTCCTCCCATGCCCTCCCACCAGCCCCCCCCCCAGTACCCCTTCATTTCCCAGGGAGGGTAAAGCCCTCCATGGGGTGTCCATAGTCTGTCGTTTAACCAGGGCAGGGCCTAGACCCTCTCCCAAGAGTCCAGGGTAAGAGTGCATCTCTCATTGTTGGATGGGAGCCCAATGTCCATTTGTATGTGAGGAATACATACTAATCTACTACCAATAGATTACCTAGGCCTCCTCACTGATGCCCACATTCAGGGGGTCTTGATCAGTCCCATGCTGGATTCCCAGCCATCAGTCTGGGATTCAAAAGCTAACCCTTGTCAGGTCAGCTATTTCTGGGGGTTAAACCAGCCCAGTCGTAGCCCCTTTGCTCATCAGTCCTCCCTCTCTGTCACTGTGTTCCTTGAGTTCAGCTCAGTGTTTAGCTGTGGGAGTCTGCCTCTGCTTCCATCAGCCATTGAATGAGGTTTTGTTTCCCAGACTCTCTGGCAGTAAGATTGTAGGCTGGCACTCCCCAGATCTATGTCTAAAATCCATATATGAGAGAGTACATATCATGCTTCTCTTTTTGTGACTGGGTTACCTTACTCAGGATGGTTTCTTCTAGTGCCATCCATTTGCCTGCAAATTTCAGGATTCCATTGTTATTTTCTGCTGAATAGTACTCCATTGTGTAAATATTCCACTCCTAGGCATATATCCAAAAGATGCACATTCATACATCAAGGACATCTGTTCCACTATGTTCATAGCAGCATTATTTGTGATAGCCAGAACCTGGAAGCAACCTAGATACCCCTCAACTGAAGAGTGGATAGAGAAAATGTGATACATTTACACAAAAACCTTGTCTTTAAAAAAATGCCTGTGAGCAAATGCCATTGCATGGAGGGAGGAGACATGCCAGACCTCGGTGTCTCCACTGTCTCCCCAAGGGTGATGGGCACTCGGTGATCCCAGCCTTGGTCTCTGCCTCACTCCTAACCCAGGGGGCCACTGTCCTTTATATTTGTGTTTGCTTGACTTCAGCTATACACTGTGATCATTAGTCTCCCTCAAGCAGTTTCTCCTTGCATGGGTGACAGAGACTCAGGGGACAGCTAGCACTGTAATGTCTTGTCTTGGCCATGTGGTCTAGATGTGTGTCAGGGCAGGGGGACTTTCTTCTTCCTTCTACAAGAACAAATCTGGTTGCGGGAGAGGGTAGGATCTGCAGATGGTGGGACATAGGAAGACTGGGAAGGGGTCCACCTTTCCCTGGGCAGCAACACTCTAACCCTCTCCCCATGGTTACTTGCAGGGAGCACAGAATGAAGGAAGGCATGTCTAACAACAGCACCACCAGCATCTCCCAGGCCAGGAAAGCTGTGGAGCAACTGAAGATGGAAGCCGGCATGGACAGAGTGAAGGTAAACTCACCCAGCATGTTCTTCCTGGTTCCAGAGTGGCCTGGTGAGGCTCAGTCCCCCTGCAGAGCAACAGTCTCAGTGGGTGTGTGTTTGTTCCAGAGCTCTGAGCCTGCTATGATGCAGTGTGTGAAGTTCCATAAGGAAGTGTCAACAATAGACCATCCTTCCCGCCAGCTGTATTTAACCGTTGTCCTACGATAGGGTGGAAGAGAAGGGTCGGACCATGGGCTTGACCACATTGTGTCTCCCCAGTGCTGTGACAGAGGTTAGATGGCAACACAATTTTGAACATGTGCAGCTGTAGGTGACTCATTGAATCAAACCTGTGTGTATTAAGATTCCCTTGGGGGAAGTGAAGGGAAGTGCCTGCCACCTCCCTCCATGGGAGTTTCCAGTCCCTTCCCTGGTTTTCACTGGTGCACACAGAGATGAACTGGAGGCTTGGCAGTGTGTGGCCCTGAAATACAGCCCGCTCATGGCTGTAATAGGGTTAGGACACCCCTCCCGGAGGAATGATACCAGGGAACTGGAGTCCACCGTGGTCTTCGAGGACCAAATGCAAGGGTCTTGCCCAAACGTCTGGTGTATGAGTTGCTGGTGACAACAACCTGAGGAAAGCAAACTAAGGGAGAAAGCCCCCCCCCTTGGTTTGAGGATACAGTCCATCTCAAGGGGAAGATGTGGTGTGACAGTGGCTGCAGCTGGGTGGGAGATGAGGCAGTGGGTGACGTGGCATCCCGTCAGGAAGCAGAGAGGTGATGCTAGTGCTCAGCCTATTTCCTCCTTTTTGTGTAGCTCAGGATCCCTGTTTGTGGGCTGGTGCAGCAGGTCTCCTCAGTTAAAGCTCTCTGGAAACTCCCCACAACCACGCTCAGAGGTGTATCTCCTAGATGATCCTAAACCCAGTCACAATGACATCAGCCATCATCACTTTGAGGTACAAAATTCCTAAAGCCTTCAACCCTTCCCTTAAACACTCTGGAGATCAGAGAAATGGTGGAGAAGCAACCAATGACCTCTCTCTCTCTCTTGATCCAAAAAGTGAGGAGAATCTTTCTAAGCCCCACCCTACTATTTCCTGTGTCTCTCTATATGCCCTGGTCCTCCAGAACCTCTGTAGCTAATTTTGGTCAGCTAGTGGGTAGCTCTGCCCTCTGATTCAAAGCAAATTTTATTGGTAGTCTTGGGAGTGTCAGTGTGATCAAAATATCCCATGACACTTCCCACTCTAGAGTGCGGCTCAGCAGCCTGAGCTTCCCTTTGCAAGCAGAGTGCCTCTCCCCTTGCAGCTCATGACCTGTGCTATCTGCTCATGGCACGTGCTATCCTGGCGGACAGGAAATGTACACAGAACTTGATGTAAATGCATATGGGATAAGGCAAGAGTGTGGAGTTGTGCACAGAGCTGTCATTGGAGCGCCAGCATCTTGCATGTACCAACACCAGCTGTGCTATCATTTGGGTCTCATGTCCCCCAAAGTGTTAAAGGTTTGGACCTCAGTGTAGCACTACTGTTAAAAGTTTTAAGAGGTAGGGGCTGCTGGGAGGTTTTACATCACAGGGGGTTGTGGAACTCTGGTCAATGCTTTTTTAATATTTTATTTATTATTATTTTATTTGTGATGTGCTGTGTGCTTTGTGTGCAGTGTGTGTGTGTGTGTGTATGTGTGTAGTGTGTATGTGCATGTGTGTGTGATGTGTGGGGGTAGCATGCCACAGTGTGTGTGTTTGTGTTTGTGTATGATGTGTGAGGTAGCATGCCACAGTGTATGTACGTGTGTGTGTGTGTGTGTGTGTGTGTGTGTGTGTGGGTGTGGGTGTGGGTGTGGGTGTAGTCACATCTGTAGCCATATCTCTCCTAGCTTTTACATGAATTCTGAGGCTCTAACCCAGGATCGGGCTTACTTCAGACATCTTTACCTGCCGAGCCATCTTGGTGGGCTGCAGGTCTCTTCTCTTTGTGGTTGATTTGCTTTAGTTTTTTCACTTGGTAACCTACACTGTCTTTGAATTCATTCTGTAGCCCAGGTTGTCCTTGAACTCACTCACAGTGAGCTTCCTGCCTGACCAAATGCTGGCTGGCTGTATGAGCATACACCATCAGGCCAGCTTCGTCTCTTCTCTCATGGGTCATGGCCACAAGGTGAATGCTCTCTCTGCCAGGTGCTGCCACCATCATGTGCTCTCCCCTCACGCTGTGAGCTGTTTGCCTCAGATACTTGTTACAGCAGCAGAAGCTGCCAACCACAAACAGCCAATCAGATGTCAGCCCTGGGAGTGCAGGCCAGAGAAGGGAGTGAGGTTAGCTCCCAGAGAACAATTGGAAGCAGGGGTTCTGGAGTCTGAATGGAATTTCAGAGGCCTCCTGCAGACAAGCAGTGCCCAGCTTTGCAAAGACAGGAAACTTCCACCCGGGGAGGACACGGTGAGAACATCGCTGAGCAAGGCTCTGCACAGCGGGGCTGCGGCTTCAGTGTGAGCAAATGTCTCCACCATAGTGAGCAGAGATGTGGGCTGGCCTCAGGCCAGTAGCTGAATTTGGAAAAACCACCTGCTGAGCCGCTCCGCAGAGGGTACTTCAGGCACAAACACAGCTCACAGAGCCACAAGGAATGACAAGTGTCTGAGGTGAACGGCCTGTGGCTGCGGATCTTGTTGTTAGGAACAGGGAGGCAGCTGCAGCTGGAGCTGGCCAGAGCCCTGAGGTGGTGGGAGAGTCAACAGAGTATGGGAAGAGAGCATGGGGCACCGGGCAGACAAAGAAAAGAAACCAAGCCGGGGCTAGGGGACAATGAGCACAGGTTAGCGTTCTGCCAGGCAGGGAAAGACATTTTCTGTGACAACAGATGATCTCCAACCACAGACAGAGTCCCAGAGATTTGTGTGTTCCCGGGGATGGGCAAGTTCTCAGAGTCTTTTGGGCACATGTACAGACTCTAATGGGAGGAGAATCATAAATCATGCCAGAGGCATTGGGAAGGCAGTGTTGTGCTGCTGCTGTGGAGGAAGAAGCTAATCCTCCCTCTGGTGATGTCAGCACATGGAGTGGGCAAGAAACTAGCCTGTGTGGTTCAGAAGCAGAGTGTAGCATTCTCAGGGAGGAAATAGATAGACCTGGGCTGTCTGAGGAGAAGGATGCTCAAGTATGGGGTCTCATGTAGCCCAGGCTGGCCTCAAACTGGGTATGGAAAGGGTGACCTTAATTACCCAATCCTCTTACCTCCATGTCCCAAATGCTAGGGTGACAGGCATGCATGATCTTACATAGGTTTGTTGCGGTAAAATACATAGAATAATAATTTCCCATTAAACCATTTTTAAATAAATTGCAGTTTTCAAGATCAGGGATATTTTTAACATTATGAGCTACAACCACCTTCCATCTCCAAGAGCTTCATCTTCCCAACCAGGAAATTTTCCCCATTCACCCCTCCTCCAGTCCTAGAAACGCCATTCTACAGTCACTGTGAATTGAACTGTAGTAGAGACCTCTTCTAAGTGGATACATGTAATGGTTATCATGGGATGTGTAGTTTATTCACCTAGCACGGTATCCTTGGAGTTTTTCTATGCTGTACAATGCATCAGAACTGTAGGCAGATGTTTCTCTACTACCCACCAGTTCCCAAATAATTTTAATGGCTGAATAATGTTCCATTATGTATATCTAATATACAGACACACATGCACACACAGAGAAACACACAGAGAAAAGGGCATGCATGTACGCACGCACATACACACACACAGTGCTTGAACCAGTATCAAATTTCTTTATGAAAAGTGGTGCCAAGACTGGCACATGTTTCTGCTTGCTGACTTTTTCTGAGATCTGTCCCTTACTCCTTGCTATCCTCAGACCACATCATCTCCAGGTCAACCAGAAGCTGTGGTGGGCAGCCTGGTCCTACTGCTCAGGTCCGTGTCTCCCCCTCTTGCTCTCTGGGTGGCTTGAGAAGCCCAGCAAGTTGAATATTCCAGATGAATATGGTAGAGTGATTTATTTCTCTGTCAGCACATAGGATTGAGAATTATTTCTGGAACCAGTTTTGTGAATCAAGCTCATCCTTTTCTCTCTAAGAAGTCAAGAAGTCAAACTCTTAATGAAATAAATCTTTATCTTACACCAATATATTAAAAGTCATATTTATGGAACTGCCCCATTATGGCTATGATTTCATTGTGTGGCAAAAGCACAGACTCCATGAGCTAAGGGCTCAGACCAACAACAAACACTATTGCCCTTGTGGACACACACCAGCTCCCGGTGGGTGCTCTGTCTACCTGCGTTCTGTAAGACTTGCTTGCAAATTCAAGGGTTCCCAAGGGCACTCTTCCCCCAGGCTCTGCCACTCATAAATTAATTCATAGACCTCAGGAAATGTCTTCCTTATATATACCAGTTTGTTATCAAGATGACAATTCAGGAACCTCCTGATGAGATGCCCAGGACAAGTTGTGTCAGCTTCCAGGACTTGTATAAGAGTGACACTTCCCAGCCCGTGAATGTGTTCACCCCTCCAAGGATGATACAGTGGTTTCCTTATGGAGCCATGATTATTAATGCTTTGGTCATGCAGTCTCCAGCTCTCCCTCCATCCCTAGAGGTAAGAGGCAGGGCTGGAAGTTCTACTTCCAACCATAGCTGTCTTCCTGATGACCTGCCCTCTTCCTGAAGCTGTTCAGGGGTCCCCAGCTACCAGCCATCTCATTAGCATATCACTCATTAGAGTCCTGGGGTTTAGGAGCTATGTGTCAGGAACAAGGGACATACTCAATCTACGATAAAAGGCTGACTGTTCCTATGTCCTAAAACTGCGGTGTCTGAACTACCAGTTCCTCAATGTTGTACCCATGACCACTGGCATACCTAGCCCATCATTATATTTACCATTTCTCTCTTAGTACTCCCTTCCATGTGTCTGTATACCTACCTTCATCAGCAGCCTCATGAATATGCATCTGAAGAGTGTGCTCCACTCCCCCGAGAAGACCTGTTG